AAAAAAAACTATTAAAAAACTTTAGCGAAAATAAATTGTCAACGGAAATGATCGAAAAGCTTAATTAAGCTTAATTACTAATTGAAATCGAAAAGTTTAATTAGTTAGTTACTTAAAGTTTAAACGCAATTATAAACTTGCAATTTTGAGTTAAAGAATTTCGCAGAGTTTTGCAAAAAAAAGGACAAAAAGCGAAGATCTGCTATTTCGCAGAACTTCGCAAAACTGGCATGTTTAAAATTTTCTGTTAAATGAAATTCTGCAAAATTGCAGAATTTTGCTGATTTTATAGATAAAAATATTCAATTATCTGCGAAGTTGCAAAGTTTGCAGAACTTCACAGAAATACACAAAAAATGACAAAAAAAAGCGGAGATCTGCTAATTTTACAGATCTCCGCAGTTCTGCACCCCAAAAAATTTCCCAATGTATACTATAATGGACTGATTTGAAAATTTGAGTAATTCGGAAAAATTGCATTTTCCAAATGAGAAAAACTTTCTTTTAATTTATTTGTAATCTCAATATTATTTTTCAAGTGTAATAGTAATAGTTCTGAAGTTTTTTAAAATTTAAAAAATTTTATTTTTTTAAAATCTTTTAAAATAAAAAAAAAAACCAAGTGAAAGAAAAATAAGATTCAATAATAAAATATACTATATTATACTCACGATATACTATAAAGCACTTACTATTGTGTAAATGGCAGGGGATAAGTAATACATATCCATGTTGAGAATTTCGTGAATATACGTACTATAACAACAATAATCAAATATTTGCTCAGAGCCTTCAGATCTAAGTAGCATAGCGGACATGCTCATATCACCTTATCGATCATTTGCTGATCACTAATTCCGGATTTTAAAAACTTATTGCAAAATCACAAATATTTTTCAAATAATGTGGCAAAAAAATAATGGAAATCTAAGTAAAAACACTAAATTATCATATGACTTTAATTATGTAATTATTAGCACAATTTTTAATAATATCATAAATATATTATTTGTATATGATAATTCACTAATTATTGCCGATCATCAGACAAAAATTGAAGTGCGAAGATGAATATGTGAGTGCGAAACTTAAGAATTTGCACAAATAGTCTTTATATTATATAAAATTAATAGTAAAAATAAAACAGTGATCCGGTCCATATTACAGGTTTTTTATTAGTAACATATTTAGTGAATAATTTTGTAAAATGAATAAATATATGCCAAATAATAATAAAAGCTAAAAAGTTTCTAATGAAATTTAATATACAATAAATTAAAACTAAATTTAAGCTATTTGTGAAATTGAGCATATATTATTATGTAAATTTTTTTAGCAACGGTATTTATATTATGTGATATAATTGAATAAATGATCGGCAAATGATCATCAGTTTTGTGATAAAACAGGGATGTCCGCTATGCTGATCTAAGTATGCGCACGACCCAGAGATTTTTTTGCTGAGCCACATGCAGTACTCCTCTGTGCGACAAAAACCTGCGGATCATATAATAGGTCTGTGCGACATATTAATTTTCGCATATATCGAACATGCCTCGAGAAAAATGTGAAAGGAGGTCTACACGCAACACAAACCTACCCTATTAGTAAATAGTGCTGACAAAAGTATATGTTATGAAAGGCTGAGGACTTCGCAATTCCGAGATCTCTAGGCATAAAACCAAGTTTGTGTCTTGCAAGGTAGAACTACATGTGAAAAGGTATGAAGATTCCATTTGCATGTGCTTTCATAGAACTCTTGACATCATACGATAATGTTAATTACGCCTCTTATCTCCTTAACTTTTCTCAGCAAGATATAAAGCATATAGTGGTCTGTGGAAGTTCAAACAACTTTGCGTAAAAATAACGCAAAAATAAGGTATGTATAGTAGCAAAAAAATAGTCATTATGAGACATTGTATTTAGGAAGCAAGATGTCTTCCACAGCAACAAGCGAAGAAAGTTCCACCTCCCCTCTAGTTGACATTATAAAAAAGTGGGAAATGGGAAGATTTATCAGTTTTTTAGGAGAAAAAAATCACCGGTCATTTATTTCTTGAAAGACACTTTACATAGCATTATAGCTGTATCGAGCGTTGTTCTTATATTATTTTATGAAATTAGATATTCAAAGAGCAAATTTAACGGATTTCGTTACCGGTAGTTAGATTTTTTTTATTCATATCATGTAAAGCGATCTATTCGCAAATTTTATTTTTGTATCAGTTGCTTCGGCAACATTTATTTTATAAATAATAAAGTATCGATATATTCCTCTTTAAAAGTCGCGTGAGGTTACGTGAATTGTTGTGATCGTAATGCCTGATTATTCGTTTCTTCTGTAGTTGTTCGAGAAGTTCCTTCTCCTACTTCATTTTCTACAGTAGTGGGATTTTGAGAAGAAACTATGTTGTCTAACCACGACTTTCCATATTTTTTTTTTGACTTGGTGGTAATTCACTAACTCGAAACCCTAGTTTACGTTTAATTTTCCAACGCCTGTCCTCATCAATAGAATACCAAGTTCCAATTAATGTTAATATTAAACCAGGGATGCCTACTCCGAGCCCAGTGCCTAAGGAAATTTTGTCGGAATTACTTAGTTCGTTACTATTCTCTGGTTGAGGACTACTCGGCGTTGTTGAGGTTGGTTTTAACAATGACAAAGCAGGACAATCAGATAGACTAAAAGAATTAATATTAAGATTAGGCGCTAGGGTTAAATTAGTTAGGAGCGGATTGCCATAACATTTTAATTCTGTTAAATTTCCAGAACTTTCTATGCTTAAACTCGTTAGTGCATTATTACTAACATCAAGATGAGTAAGAGAAATCATGCCAAGGGTAATTTTCGAATAAAAATTATTAGAAAAATTGACAAATTTAAGTGAGTAACTGTATCCTCCAATAGTCGGACCAAGACGATTGTGAGAAGCATCTAATACTTCCAATTTCTTCTCACCGTATCCAAAACCAAGTCCGCTTATTTCATTAAAAGAAAAATTCAATTTGTGGACATTAATGAATCCACCAAAATTTAACCCGCCTTCCAAACTGCGGTTGCTAAGGTCTATTTCCCCTTCTATTGCTTCTCTCACCCCTCCTTTCGGATAATTTGAGTCTAAGTATTCTTGGGCATTTACCATAATATAATATTTTATTTTACACCCAATATGGAAACCTTATTTAGATTTTTTGCAATAAAATTAAAAAGTGAAAAGTAGTCAGGGTAATAACTCCTTGATTATTAAGGGCTTTTGGAAAAAAACTTCTAATTACTTAAATCCCGCTTTTTGTCAATGGTGAAAATCACCCGACTTGTCTGTGCGACGTAAAAAATCGTATGTTAAAAATGCTTGCGTTTCCCTTAGGCCGTTCCAAGCTGATTCTTCGTTTAACATAACACAAGTAGAACGGTGAGAGGAGGGGGGATACTAAAAATAATACAACTATGATAATTTCACGTGATAATTATACTGCAATTTTATTAATTTTATTAGATGTATGATGTAATTTAAAAATGTATTAAACGAAAAATAAATAAAAATAATCAAAGTATTTTAAAATTATTTATTTGTATAATTGTATGTTAAAACTAATTACAGTATTTGTCAATATAATCTATGTTTTACGGCGCTTTGAGGCACGTCCGTTAGTCTTAATCTCTCCTTTAGTATGAAAACCTTTTCTATTCTCTATACACATCTCACATAGTGGATAAATTTGTTTGAAACGCCACCAAACCTTCACTTTCTGGGTCGTTAAAGCGGTAGAGTCACGTGATCGTGACGATCACGTGACGACCAAGAAAGATTAATTATTATGCACACCTTATTAATTAAGATTAATTTAATAAATGAAATTTCAACTTTATTAAATGATACAAACATTTTTAACAAGAATTTTTTTTTTCTTTTTTTTAAAATAATTTATTTACTATATCAGATGATACCAGTATTGATGCTTTTATTTATTTTCAAATTGTGAAATAATTGGATTTATGGAGGTCTCTAATATAATGATAAAGCCTTTATACTTTTAGCATCACCCATTTTTTCAACCTTCCAGTAGACCCCGCTTACTTATAAGATAGGTCACTCCCAGGCCTAAGGTAAAAATCATATATAAAATTCTTTGCAGATCCTACTATAAAAGGAGGTCGTTGTAAACGGCCGAATATCAAGCACGAAAAGATGATAAAATTCAACCGCCAAATGTAATTATCAAGTATTAAGAACAAACAAATTAATCGTGGATTGGTGTGGATGGATAAATAATTAGCCGAAAAGGATAAACATTTAAGAAGAGTAATGATCTTCATGATGTAATATTTATTGAATGATTGACAAAGAACCAATAGGATAAATAGAGTCGATCATTTGCGGCTTAGCGATCTTTAACAATAAGAACGATAAGAAAGAATAATTATAAGCCACAAAAGATAGATTATAAGCAAAACACATAAAGTAGATTAAAAGAACATATAAAATAATGTCGGAAAGATTAAAGAATACAAAATAATATAAAAGATAATATGAAAAGAAAGTATAAAGATGGAATATAAAAGATAACATATTAAAAAGAACATATATAAAGATAACACAGCCACAAAGGATGGTTTATAAATTATTTCTTTACGATGTAATATTTGAATAATAGAAAAGATAATATATAAAATAATATATAAGATAGCATATTAAAAGATAGCGTATTTAAAGTATAGATAGTATATTAGAAAGATAGTTCAAAGATAATATATAAAGAATAGAAAAGATAGTATATAGATAGAATAGAAAGTAGCATAAAAAATTGTATATATAGAGAACGGAATTCAAGGTAATTCCATAGTTCGCATCCACAGAACTCAATAAAATATAAGTTTTATTTTTTAATTATTAATGAAGTTTAATATTAATTAAAGGTAATAGGTTCGCCCTAAACTTTAATCAATGTTTGATTAATTAATTTTAATTAATGAAAATTTAAGATGAATTAAATATATACCTTTGGAAGATAATAATTTGTAGCGAGAGTTATCGCAGTTTGAAATCGAAAGTGGATATAAATTGAGGAAAATTCAGAGAAGTTAATTTTATTTTATATCGTTTAATGTTTTATATTACTAACGCTATTTATTTTGTGAACCAAGAATGTTGTTGTATATTGTTTGCTGATGTTGTTGTTCGTTAATTATGTTTTGATCATGTGTTTGTTCGTTTGATTGCTCGTTCGTTCGTTTGTTTGTTCGCTCATTCGTTCGTTCGACCATGAGAATGCCCGTTCGATGTGGCAACCTTGTAAATTGATGACAGGGGGAATTGGGGGATCTCATATGGTGCATGCTCCGAGAAAGGAAATGATCATCATCACATGATTATTATTATAATGAATATGAAAATTTAATTTCGTTAGTAAGTCACTGATAGGTATTATTAATCAATATTTTATTTTAGAATTTATTTTTAGATTTCAGGTTTTGACGAGTTCAAAAGGAACCAATAAATCAACAAGGATTTAATCGAGTTAAAAACTTGAAAAGGTGAAAGATTGAAGTTTGGAGTTGTGCAAGTAATCACTTAATTGATAGAAAGCACAAGAATATTTCTTTCGGGAATAAAGTACCTGAGAAATTTCATAAGGAGATGTGGAAGTGAAAGATGGATTTTGAAATAAAGATTAATAATGGGAGAACACCAATGTATTATCCGGGGTTCATCTGTGTGGTATGGGTTACCTCTGAGTTTGGATTTTGGATAAATGCTCGAGATTGGAAAATTTTTATTCTTCGACATTAAAGATTATAACGTATGGGTTACGTCAAATCTGGATACCCAGCTCAATAACACGTGAATTGCTTTGGGGACGGGGAATGAAAATTGTAAAGACACCTACTATCAAGAAACATTGGATGGATAAAATGGGACAAACCTGTAAAC